TTTCTTAAGATAGAAATTACCTCAAATTCACCACCCATGCAAATATATCCAGTATTGAGTTTATGGCGGACGGCAACGCAGGGACAGAGGAGCCTATTACCAAACAAGCCCACTGATATATATATATATATATATATATATATATATATATATATATATATATATATATATATATATATATATATATATATATATATATATATATATTTATATCTTAAAATTAATTATTGCTACTCAAGTTTCACGCCTTATTCAAGACGATCTTCAGGCAATTAATTCAGTTAGTGTTTGATTCAGCGACCGTTGATATTGACGAATCAAACACTAACTGAATTAATTGCCTGAAGATCGTCTTGAATAAGGCGTGAAACTTGAGTAGCAATAATTAATTTTAAGATATAAATATATCTTGCTCTACTATAATACTAGTGTTGAGCACTTTATTATCTACTACAACAAAACAACATATATATATATATATATATATATATATATATATATATATATATATATATATATATATATATATATATATATATATATATATATATATATATATATATATATATATATATATATAGTACAATCTGCAGACATGCATGTTTCGGCGTTCAACGCCTCGTCAGTGCAGCTTGGTACATATATATATATATATATATATATATATATATAACTACAGACGGTACCGTTTCGGCCTTTTGGGCCTCATCAGTGTAGTGCTGATGAGCAGGATGAAAGTAACCACTATAAATAGTTACCTTTGATGTCTCACGAATGTGGGACATCAAACCATTGCCAGAGTGCTCAAACTGCAAGCAGTGAGCATGCGCACAATGCGTAAGGAGCAATGGCTCATCCTGTAGAGTGCTCAATATGACACAAAGGCCATAGAGCAATACATATATATATATATATATATATATATATATATATATATATATATATATATATATATATATATATATATATATATATATATATATATATCTATATCTATATATATATATATATATATATATATATATATATATATATATATATATATATATACCGGGTGTCCCAAAAAAAAGTACTCCGGTTTGATTTATAATAACTTGTAAACAAGTAAAGCTATCAAACAGAAATAACTTGCATTAAATAGAGGAAGGACTAACTTAGATTTTGATATATTACAGTTGTATTTTCCTTAAAAATTCACGGAGATATTAATGTTCAAAATCGGGAGCATATTTTGGGATGTGTCTAAAATTAGCGAAAATCGGCATATCAAATATTAACTCCAGTGTTTGTTTGTTTAATGACATATCAGGCTAATTTGTATTTCAGCGAATTGTCGTCAGGGATTGTATAAGGATATGGTGTATATTTAGACAGCTTACATCTAAGCTCATTGTTTCCTGAAATATAAACGTTCGTATTATATTACGAAATATAAACGTAAAGTATTTAATAGGTCTTTAATACAAACTTAAAGGTACATGAAAGACCATTCAAGGCAGGCGCTTAATTTTTTCTTAAATAGCCTATATTTTTTATGCTTTTCATGGGTTGAAAACAGAGTTGAATATTTCTCGATTAGAGCAGGATGAATATTATTTTTTAATGAAGGAAATAATACTGCATTTTGCAAATACACATCACAGTATCAACGCTACTATTTTGTTACGTTTTGTTCCAAAAATGTTGGATGTCTCTGGGGAGTTGCTTCTTATGTCTTATGGAGTTGTATGGTTTGATTGTGTTTCATTCTTAGTTTATTCTGAACTTGTCAAGATTAAGAAAAAGCAAAAAAGATTGAGTGTTCTTAACAAGATTTCAGAACGTTGCAAAAGTTAGAAGAGCTTCACAATGCCATTGTGACAGCATCCCCTAATTCAGAACACGAACGATCCATGACGATCCTTCGCGATGCAGTCAGTGGTCTTATGAAATAAGGAAACGTACTCGTGCTATAGGAACACACGCGGATTTCGGACGAATAAATCTTCCTTGTATTTTGTAAATAACAATACTTTGTTTCACAATAAACAATTTGTCAAGTGTCATTTATTTACTGGTAATAGTGCATGTTTCAGTCGAGCAAATCTTGATTAATATTTGATACCCCGTTTTTTGCATATTTCAGACATATCCAGAAATATGCTCCCGATTTTAAACATTAATATCTCCGCGAATTTTTAAGTGAAATGCAAGTGTAATATACCAAAATTTAAGGTAGGGCTTCCTCTATTTGATGCAAGTTATTTCTCTTTAAAAGCTTTACTTGTTTCGAAGTTATTACGAATCAAACCGGAGTACTTTTTTTTGGGACACCCGGTATATATATATATATATATATATATATA